CACTGGGGTGGTGGTTACTTTTTTCCGCGTCTTCTTTACATGTTTATAGTTGTGTAAAGAACCTATTTTAGGTGTGTTACAGCATGATACTATTAGGATGACTAATAATAATAATAATAATAATAATAATAATAATAATAGGCCTATAAAATAAAATTCTCAAGGTATGAGTTATCAACGCATTGTATGTGCTCTGAAACCATGAATGGTAAAGTGTTGAGCTACTATTACACAAACTTTAAGAATAAAATTGTTATTCTTTATACTTTGTATCCTGTTCAGAATGCTCCCCTACAGGGCCCAGTTATGCTTTAATAACCCAGTCTATAATAAAGGCACAGAGGCGTTGTCTGTATAGTCACAAGAAAAACAACCTGCTATCACAAGAATTGGGGCAAACCTAACATTATGATAACAAACAACATTTTATTGCATTGCAATTTAAATTACTGGTTCACTGCATTTAAATTACGTGTTCTGACCTCCATCTGAATGAATCTTCATATTTACGTTCAATGATTTCCCGATATACTCCATCTCGCCGTCTCTGATGACAATATAAAAACAATACAATAACAATAATAATATATTAGTTGACTATAAATACCGCTTTACACCAGTTTTAAAGCACTTCGAGGCCTGTACTATCTAACTTTCTTCTCCCCTAGGGGTCTCCTCATGTACCTGCTACTCTAGTCTGTCCACAACAGGGGTTGTATGAACCAGTACACTAAGGAACTCCCTACTCATCTTGAAAGATGCATTGGGTTCATAGTGCACATGAGCCAATTATGTACACTGGGCCAATGGTTTATAATTCTTAGCACCTTCAGATCCATAATAGACGAGCGTGCCTTTCAAATCAAACGCCTATTACTGTGGCTGTAGATTGCGAAGCCCCTGCCATAACTGCTCGGCCATTCTGAGTTTTTGTTATTCATGGTGGGTATAAAAAATTATTCATATTTTATTGCCATAGAAATGAATATCTAACAAATGCAAGGACAACTAGATATTTTATACTATCCACTTTACCTTTTTAAACAGATTTAACGGTAGAGATATTACTGTAAATATTTTTACTGCAAACATGAAGTTGCACTGTAGTTTTAGGTTTTTTATACCACACATAAATTTTAAATTTGTCATTTTAATAGTTTGATTTTATGTACTCTTTTAGTGTTCTTAATCATTTGATTATTTTCTTTTTATTTTATTTGTTATTGTTATATAATATTTTATTTTACTTTACTTATTTAATTTATAAAGGTATTCAAGAGTGAGACCACACCACTACACTGGTGTGGTGGTTACTTTTTTCCACGTCTTCTTTACATGTTTATAGTTGTGTAAATGACCTATTTTAGGTGTGTTACAGCATGATACTATTAGGATGACTAAAAAAAGGCAGACAATTAAAACCTTACTTTCATAGGTGTGCTAATAGATGTCTTGTGTTTGTGCAATGGGTGAGGAATTCATTGACACTGACAGTTGGACTGCTCCAATCAGGCTAGCAGGCTAGAGTTTCCCATCATTTCGCTCACTGTACTCATACTGTACAATTAATTCATTTTGAATTTGAGTATTGTATTTTTATGTTCTTGTTTTTATTAATTTTGATGCGCTACCAGATGGTTTGTGCCACTGAACCTAAAGTGTTTCCAAATAAGTTCGAAGTTCACAAGCGGCAAGTATGTATTATGCTGTAAACAAACAATGGCGTAAAATAGAAAAATCGTACAATGTCGATGAGCAGTAATTTTTTTTATTGATCTAAATCTACGTAAATTTGCTTTCAGAGTTCATATTTACTTAATATAAATTGTTTATATATTATTAAAAAAGCTAAATATAGCTAAATGTAGCTAAAAAGCTTTATTTAAAGATATTTAGCATAGGAGAACCCCTTGATAGTGGCAATCCTCCGGTAACAAACATCTTGTTTGTATATTTTATATTGTATTTGTATTGGATATAACTTTTTAAAAAAATCAGGAAGTGGTCTCTAAATTTTACAAAATTAAAAATAAATGGGGGATTAAAAAAATCATTAGGCCCTACATTTAAATTTCGAGTCAGAATGCCATTTCTGGCCGTCTGGAAGTACCATGGACATAATAATGTTGTACATCAGCCCCAACCATGATAGGTCTGAGGTTATTTTTATAATTAATTCCAAGTTCCGCCACTGTTTAATACTGTACAATTTGTACTAAAAATAGGCTTATGTATACTATTTGCGAATTGTAGCTCTATTAATACATGTACTTAAAATACTGTACAGGATTGGCTTTGGGATACTAATCACTTTGCAGATGCTTCAGAGCTCACACTTATCGCACACATGGTGTCAATGGGACAGTTCAACTAACAACCTGACGAAATACTAGAATAATGTGAATGATTTTGTACATGTTCAGAGTCAGCCTCACTTTATTGAAGGGGTTCCCAACTATATTGCACTACAGGCAGCAGAACACCACCATGCTATCAAGCTAGGTCAGCTAGACCTAAAACATAAAGCAAGCGACTGTGCGTGAGGCTGAAAGTTGCTGTTTTACAATTTCTTTTCTTTGCTGTTTGCTGTGATAGTTTTTCCGATTTGATAGATTAAATCGCTACAATTTGTGGGGCAATATATAGATAGGCCTATATAGTATAATATATAGAGTAAAAATTCTTTAAAAGTGGCCAACAAGCCAAGCGGCTGGTGCCGTAGCCCAATGCAGGCAGCAAGTCCATGGCCAAATGAATACAGTACGAGAAAGGATGTATGACCGAATCACACCTACTGTACATTTACTGCAACCATATAGCTCTCAGAATGCATAATTTTTCAAGTTTTTGTAAGTTTCTTGGGTCATGTTATGAGATGTGTATACCAAACTTTCATGTGAAAGATAATTTAAAGCATGCCTTAATTTAAACCTATAATTTATATTAAAATAATGTACTGTAAATACCAATCTCTTTAGTTATGCATACATCGCTCATCAGGTGCATACCCTTCCATATCATTTTCATGTTGTTTTTCTGAAAATTTAACTTTCTACCTAATTTCTACCAAAATTACCTTTTTTTTGTAATAAAGTTAGTTTATACCTGCTGAGCTATGCAATTAAAGCATATGGATGACGTTTGTGCAGGGGTGTTTATTCAACAAATAATTCATCAAACTTTAAAAGATTAATTTTGATTGCTTCAATAGATATTCAAAACAAATATTTTTAACTTAGTATCATAGTGTGGCAAGCACCCTGAAAAAACACCAAGAGATTGACACAGTGTGACTTCAAATGAGTACAATGATTGAGGTCTGAAGTTTATTCAGGGAGTGTACGAAGGAAATAAATATTGATTAAAGATAAGAAAAATTGAACAATAGGCCTATAAAATAAAATTCTCAAGGTATGAGTTATCAACGTATTGTATGTGCTCTGAAACCATGAATGGTAAAGTGTTGAGCTATTATTACACAAACTTTAAGAATAAAATTGTTATTCTTTATACTTTGTATCCTGTTCAGAATGCTCCCCTACAGGGCCCAGTTATGCTTTAATAACCCAGTCTATAATAAAGGCACAGAGGCGTTGTCTGTATAGTCACAAGAAAAACAACCTGCTATCACAAGAATTGGGCAAACATAATATTATGATAACAAACAACATTTTATTGCATTGCAATTTAAATTACTTGTTCATTGCATTTAAATTACTTGTTCTGACCTTTAAAGCTCTCCATCTGAATGAATCTTCATATTTACGTTCTTTTTCTGTCTCCAATTGCTGTACCAAAACCTACGGTCAATGTTCTTTTACTTTTGCATCTGTCTATTTCTGGAACCAACTTCCAAATTACATAACTTCTTCCAACTCTAAGACCTATTTGTTTACTGGTGGCTTTTCACATGTGTTGCGCCTTCGATCTTGTTTGAAATTGGCGCCATATAAATTTGAGATATTATTATTATTATTATTATTATTATTTGTAGCGCAAGACAGGAGTAAATAATTTTCGAAGCGCTTTAAATTTCCAGTTCTGTGAATAATCAAAAGAAAAAGTTTTGGGGAATGTACAGACTTATTTCTCTCTATTTTCTTTGGGACTCAAGTTGAGATTTCACATACAACCGCAACCCATATGAAATAATTTGACACTAAATCAACTTTAAGACGTCAACAATTTGATGCTCTATGTTTTCAAAATGACTACTCAACATTGGTATAAGTGACAGGTCCAGGAATTAAAAATAGAGGGGGGAGGGGGGCTAGGAAGGGACTTACATATATGGGATATTAAAAGAGGGGCTTTGGGTTTATAATATCTATTAAAACATATAGAAAATAGAGGGGGGTGCCAGGAAGGGACTTATATATATGGGGTGTTTAAAGGGGGGCTCTGGGTTTAAAATATCTATTAAAACATATAGAACAGTATTTTTGCACCTTGCTGATATGATTTTCACAGGTGTTTGATTGCTGTAGTACAGAATGTAAACTGGGTCCCTAAATACAAGTGGTGGCATCACTCAAATACATATTGTATTAACACATGAATATTCCTAAATGGACTAACGTTTGAAGGCTCGCAATCAATAACTGCTGCAAAGAAAACATTCATTTTATCAATTCTTACGTAAATTTATCGGATCATTTCATTTATATGGGTATTATTTTATGAAAATGTCTCATTTTTATATTAAATTAGAATAGAACCAACTTTTTTTTAGTAATTATGCAGAAATCTGGAGATTCAGTCATGTGCTTCAATAGTTCTGGGCAATTTGAACAGCCAAACACTCCCAATTGGAAAACACATCGCGAGGGAAATATCTTTGCTGTTGTCGTTTGTAAATAGGACCATAGGACGATCTTTCTGAATCAGTATGGGATGGCATATAAATGTACGAAAGGCAAGAGAGAAAGGCTGTAAATGCATAGCCTAAAAATGGAATTCCAGCTTAAAAATTAAGACGGAAGCTAAGATTTGAATGCACGATCATTATCAGCAACACCAACACACACAAGGGCCTATTGTACTACTAGCCAAGTGCATCACTCTCCTGCTTTGCCAAGTCAAATTATGGGATTTTTGACAAGACCTGGTACAACATTTGTGCCAAATCATGCAACCAGACACTAACCAAATTCTCAAATAGCAAGAACAATAATAGAAATGAGGAATGTGATACTTCCTGCACTCAAGCACGAAGCCATGGTGGCGGCTCTTTTGGTATCACATCACAATACTCTTAGACACCATACAATGATATTACACAATCTCCATCCATGTGAAAATTTACAGATTGTGTTGATTGTGATTGCCAACCTGTTGAGTCAAGTCTCAATATAAATATAAGTACCGAAAAAGGTAAAGAAAGGGAAAGAAAAAGAAAGGGAAAGAAAGAAAAGAAAACAAAAAGATAATGAAATGAGAAAAAAAGAAAACAAAAGGGTAAAGAAAGGAAAATAAAAAGAAAGAAAATGAAAAGGTAAAAAAAAAAAGATATTTGAAAAGAAAAGAAAAAAAAAGAAAATGAATGAGAAAAGGAAGGAGAAATGAGAAAGGAAATTATATAAAGAGAAAGAAATGAAAAGAAAGGAAGATAAAGAAAGACAAAAGGAAATTGTTAAGGAAAAGAAAGGCAAGAAATCAAAGGATATAGGAGAATAAGAAAAAATAAAATAAAAGGAAATGGTAAAGAAAAAAAAGAGGAAAAAATAAGAAATGTGGAAAGGAAAGAAAAGGAAAATATACTGTAATGTAAGACAAGAAAAATGTATTGGAAAGAAAGGAAAGGGAAAACATGAAAAGAGGTAGAAAAATGAAAGGAGGAAAAGGGGAGGGGAAGAAAAATAATAAATTGTTTCAAGTTAGGAACACAACAAATATTGCACATAAAAATCACCCATAGAAAAAAAAAGCACCCATAGAAAAAAAACTGCATTCAAGGAAAAGACAAATAAAATGAAGAGGCCAAGCAACTTATCCACCACTAGACGGGATCATAAAAAAAACACTTGAGGTTGTGTAAACGTGAGGTGCTATATGAATCCAGAATTATTTATTATTATACAGAAGGGAATCAAACAATCCAAATCGGTTCGATCTAGAGACCTAGTCACTTGATGATAGGAGGGAAGAAAATCTCTGAACATGTCAGACAGCAACAAACTTTCTCCAAAAGACAAAACTAGTCTTTCCCTTTCACAAGGGTTGGTAATCTAGTAACAGAGAAGGCATGGTCATAGTGCAAATAATTACATCCTAAAATTATACGAAAAGCTCTCTTTCAATATTAGTACCCTTTCAATAAACTTGGACATGTGTTTTAGGCCATGGGCTGGAGGGGGATCACCGTGCACCCCTCCCCCCCACAGTTAAACTTCCTTGGCATCATTTTGTTCCTACAGGCATATAAAACGAAAAAATTGATGTTAACAAGAAAAATATAGGGATGCATTGTGTGTACTCGCGTCATTTGTAATGGTCGTTAGTGTTTTATGGTCAATACTTTTTTGGGGAGAGGGGTAACATTTATGCCCATAACCTGTGAATTAAAAATCCCATCAATGTTATTTTGGGAACAATGTGTAGCATATATGATTTTTAATCATATGCAGTTTAAATAAAATTAATCCGACAATTATTAACATCACTAGAGGTCAAAAGGTAATCGACCTTTTTCTAAAATACAAATTTTTTCATAAAACATCAATAAACTTCAGTGTCATATGTCTAATTTTGGATGTATTTGATACAAATTGTGTTTTTCTTGTAGTTATCAACATATGTAATACAAAAATTGAGGTTAACAAGAAAAAAATTAAAATGCATTATGTACTATTGTCAATGTTTATGATCCGAGAAATTTGTAATCAACAACAGTTTTTGGAGTAGGGGTTAACATTAAATGCTCATAACTCTTGATTTACTCAATGGATACGTATGATGTTGGTATCAACATTTAGCCTATAGATTGGTAAGTCATTCAAATTTTAAAAGTTTTGAAATTGTCAGAAATTGACGCAACTAGAGGTCAAAAGGTCATTGACCTACACAGAAAAGTTGTATATTTATTCCCAATTCACTCACAAACGTTTACAAATCTACAGTTGTGAGTATTTTTGATACCAATTAGTATTTTCCATTATTAATAAGCATATGGAATATCAAAAATAATATTAACAAGAAAAATGTATAAATTGATTAAATGTATTACTGTCATTTTTGATTACTTGTGTAATCAATGGCGATGTTTGGGGTAGGGGTTAACATTTATGTTCATAACTCATGATTTATTGAATAGATTTGCATGATGTTGGTATTAATATGTAGCCTGTAGATTTTCCAAATTCCAGCCATTCAAATTTAAAACGTGTGCAGAAATTGACGTATCTAAAGGTCAAAAGTCGTTGACCTCTGTAGAAAAATGCAAATTCTTCCCAAAAACCATGGCAGATATTCTTTATGGCAATATATGGAAATATATATTGGTGAAAGTTATGTTAAAAGTTTCCCACACGAATAAAATAAACAAGCGATACTGGATAAAGACAACTTGGTTTCTTGCTTCAAACAAGGTATCCATTCATAAAAGTCTTATGAAGATCAGCCTAACCAAGTGATGAACCTAAAAGGGTCGGGGACCAGGATATACTGTACATTCGACTTAGATTGACAAAGATTGAAATATGTTAAATACAGACACGATATATACATAGGCCTAGGTCTAGAATCCAGTTAGAATATGCAATTATATATCAAAATGGTATATTATATATATATATATATCTGTCTCTTATACTATATATCTATATATATATATATATATATAATATATAAATCATCAAAGGTATACCTTTTTTTGTAATAATGTTAGTTTATACCTGCTGAGCTATGCAATTAAAGCATATGGATGACGTTTGTGCAGGGGTGTTTATTCAACAAATAATTCATCAAACTTTAAAAGTTTAACTTTGATTGCTTCAATAGATATTCAAAACAAATATTTTTGTCAACTTAGCATCATAGTGTGGCAAGCACCCTAAAAAAACACCAAGAAATTGACAGTGTGACTTCAAATGAGTACAATGATTGAGGTCTGAAGTTTATTCAGGGAGTGTACGAAGGAAATAAATATTTATTAAAGGTAAGAAAAATTGAACAATAGGCCTATAAAATAGAATTCTCAAGGTATGTGCTCTGAAACCATGAATGGTAAAGTGTTGAGCTACTATTATGTGTATAAGAGACAGCAGTATTGTTTGGATAGTGAGCAGAATCAAGAGGAATTGGGTAAAATTTCCAATGACCAATTAAGACTAATGATTTGTAATGACTCACACCAGCAATACCGCCATGCAAGACTAGGCCCTAGGCAGAAAATCAACACCACACCGATCACATTCTTAATTAAACGTACATAGTAGAACAATATGGTGGGAAGCGGACTTAACTACACAATAAGTAAATGATTAAGAAGTCTTAAACAGTAAAAGATGGAATATATGAATAAAACAAAAATAAACCTATAGGCTTATAAATAGGCTATATAATGTACAGATAAATAAAATATATACATATAAAAATAAAAATAAAGTGGTGTTAATAAAGAAAGCACATATCAGCTATCGATATACAACAGAATAAAGAGATGAGAATCAATTGTATGGGAAGTTGTAATCACTGAGAACGTCTATATCTCTATTAAGTCCTATGGTGTGGGTTTTGTGTTTAAGTATGAGTTTGAGTTCGGAAATGCGGCGGTCGTTTAGAGATTTTAAGTTGTTGGCTATGAGTGTACATCTCAAATCATTGATGTTATGGTTAGGAGAATCGAAATGTGTGGCTATGGGAAGGTTCTTATGGGTGCGGATAGATGACTTGTGATTATTAAATCTGCTTCTAAAAGAAGCTCCAGTTTCACCGATGTAGGTGCCATGATCACATGCATTACACATATGATGTAAATCACGTTGGTAGAGTCAAATGTGAGTTGAGGGGGGTGAATTTTGTGGTTAGTGACTGGGAGTGTGATTCCGTTAGTTATAATACAGTATGTGTGCATATTTGACAGCGAGGCTTATTACATTTCATATTGCCATATGAAGGAGGTTTAGTAGTGATGGGTGAGAAAGTGAGAAGGGATTTCAAATTAGGTGGCTGGCGGTGGGCAAGAATAGGTGGTGTATTAAATAAGTGTTGTATGGATTTGTCAAGTTGGAGGTGCGAGAATTCATCTTTGATAGTTTTGGTGACAGTCTTGTTGGAAGGATGGAATTCGAATATGAGGGGGATGCGTTCTGATTGAGTTTTGTGCTTGTAAGCGAGTAGATCAGAACGGGAGTGTGTGGAGGCTTTGTTAATTTGCAATTTGATCAAGTCAAGGGAATAGCCAGCTTTGAGAAGGAAACCTAATAAATTAGACACATGGAATTCATAGTCAATGGGGTTAGAACATAAACGTTTTAGACGGAGACATTGGCTGTATATTATAGATTTTTTTAAATTAAAGTGGGTGATTACTATTGAAATTAAGAAAAGCGTGACTATCTGTGGGTTTAGTGGTGAGCTGATTGTTATTGTTAAGCGATACGGAAATGTCTAGAAATCGCAGGGATGTGCGAGACTGTTCTAAAGTGAATTTTATATGTGAATGAAATGAGTTGACGTGGGCTTCGAATATTTTAAGATTGTCAGCGCCATGAGGCCATATCATGAAAATGTCATCTATGTATCGGTAATAGAAATTTCTTTATCACCATAATTAGCATATTCATACCAAACTAAAAATGACTGAGTTATGACACTTTCAATGACTGATTTATAAAACTGACCCATTATTATAGAACTTATTCCAAACGGTCGTAATCTACTTAAAAAGAAGAGGTGCTGTTGTCCTTTCTTCCTTTTAATCTTGCCTGCCTAGTGGTTTCGTATCATAGCCAGCCATCCTAGTTAGTATACCTAAAATATCGCCCAATTGAAGCCATGTAGTCTACATAGATTATAACGCTTCTAAATCTATTTGCCTTTTATTGTACAGGATATTTAAAACGTTGTTTATTATCTAAAAACAACCTAGTTGAACATATTATAGGCCTAATCCTACTGTCGCATCATGACTGTAAATGCTGTCAAGTACATGGGTAGTGGAAGAAAGATCATTCTGGGCATGCATGAGCAGCTCTGAAGCAAACAGTCTGTGATCATTGCCAGCTAATGATTGCCTGCTAACAATCACATAGTATTTTTAATGAAAGTAATATTTCTCATGTTAAAAATAACGCTAAAATAAACACCAAAACGACATTTATTTATCGATATTGTTATGTAAAACATAGGTGTTATACTACACTATTAAAATAAATTATGTACAACCATTCTCTCACCTACAATATACATATATATACATTTATTTAATAGAGATAACAAAATTACGATCTGTAAATGACAACGTAAACTCAAGCATTCGGAAAAATCATTGTTTATACTATAGGCCTTAGGTAGTTAAAAAAATTGCCGAGACTGCCGACCTCGGAGAACTTAACGTCGGCAAATTGTTGCTGACCTAATTTTTTTCCAATTTCATGGGCTGGGAAAACCAACACAAAATTTATCAATTGTTTAATATCTTTAATGGAAATTTTCTCTAAATTATGTTTTCAGATTTCTGAATTTGAAAATGATTTTAGTTGGTTGTACTCAAGCTAGGAACAAAACCTGATTTTTGTACAAGATTCACTTTGTCACAACAGCTCACATTTTCATGGATGCTTTGGTTTTCAGTGACATTATAAGACTAATGATTTCTAATCAGTTCTTACCCGTTTCTGTATTCCAAATTTTCATGTATCGGTCATAGCCTGTGCTGATAAACTTATCACCAATATTATTGAAGAATGCATCATGGACAGACAGATAACACACCTTTTGTTATACACTTCCCACAACTGGCAACAGAAAAAAAACGAGTTTAGAATTAGGGATGGGAAACAGGCAATCATCAGTAAAGGAAAAAACAGGGTAAGAGGGGTCAAGTGAAAGGGTTGAAAATGGTCAAAGAGTGAGAAAAAAAAACCAAGAGATGAAGATGAGTTAGGAAGTGGAGATGGGTCAAGAGATGGTTAAGATGTGTTTAAGATGAAAAGGTCAAAGTTTAGAAAAGACATTGAAACAGCAGAGGGTGAGAAAATGCCAAAATGCTAAAAAAACTATATATTTATTTCCTAATATTTAATAGTGAATAAAATATACAGTAGACTTTATCTACAGGAAGGGATTAAATTATTTAGGATTTTTATATTTCCTTTACACAATTCATTAACTTGAATATATATTCTTGTATTTCCTAGTGACAAAATGAACTACTTCTTCGGTATATTTCCGTTAAGTTGCCGCCTTCATCATATTGAGGATTCTGTAACTGTCTGGTGGCCACTGGGCAGTACACCGGGAGACAATCCCCTACTCTTTTCCAAATAGTGTACTGCGTTATTTAACGTGCACACAGGCTATAATGAACACTGGACCAACGGCGTAAAGTCCCATCTGACTGACGGTGTGCTATCGTAAATTGTATTTCACCCCTATAGCTGCTCTCTAATAATTATTATGAAACACCAGAACAAACAGTTCATTCAAAAACATTAGAACACATCTTCCTTATAATTCCACATGACAATAACAAATGGCCTGATTTTGAGAAAAGCCTAATAGCTGCAACACCTTTTGTGTGTCCCGTCCAGGTGTGTAGGAGCTTCTTCGGCAGGTAACATTTCTCAGGCGGGTCCTCTGACTTGAGGTCGACGTCAAGATCCATTGGAATGTGTAGTAAGGAGCGGTCTTGATAATCGTACGCATCTTTGACTAAGGAAGTGTAAAAGAGTGATAAACATTGAAGTGATAAAAGCATTGCAGAATACACATTCAGAAAAGATATGTTGACCATAAGATAGCTGAATCTTCTTTCCCACTTTCATGTCTCAACTATTATAATCATCATAACATTATTATCACCATTACCACCACCCTCATGGTAATATTCAGTGTCTTCATTACAAAAACCAACATCAATTTAGCAATCACTACTGGCTTTGGCAACATATACTGTATACTATACTGATCATAAATTATTGCTATATACTATTTTTGTAATTAATTCATCTACACAACCACTCCATTACTATCTTCATCCTCTTAATGACCAACATCATCTTAATCATTTTTATCTTTGTTGAATGAGGAGCATATCCAGCAAACCAATCAACATCGCTCAAAAGATGACTATATAAGAAATGACACCTTTAAGAATAACTTGTATAAAATTGTTTCTCTAGCTTTTGTCCACACAATGGACTTCATCAGGAGACTGTGAAAACGTGCAGATGAAAGCTAGAGAAAATGGTCAATGGTTGTGCACTTGTATAGCGCATATAACATTCATCCCTATGCGCTCTCTAGAACAACAGAAAAGAAAAAAAACATGAATAATGGTGGAAAAGTGGTGAAAAGAAAAGCAAGCAGAAAATGAGAAAATAGAAAAACAACACAAAAGTGAAAACAAAACAGGAGAGTGGAGGAAAATTATAGATTTTAGAGATTGTCAAATAAGAATGATTTAAGATGGCGGTTAAAGATCATTAAATTAGTAGACTCTTGAATTGATTGTGTATGTGAATTCCAGAGCTTTGGACCAACAACTGAAAAGGACCTTTCTCCATAAGTATTCAAATGACAGGTAGGTGCATTGAGGGTTATAGATGTAGTGAACCTTAACATCCTTTTACATTTAGCAGAACGGGGTGTGATCAGTTCTGAGATGTAATGACAGGGGTTTCCCTTAAGGTTTTTTTTAACTAGCCAAGTGGACCAGTAAATTAATATTTTTACTGGTCTTCAATCCCTTTCACTAGCCACTATCTTGCCAACTTCGGATGGCCCAAATACCATATTTTTGACATGCTAATCATGCTGCCCCCTCCCCCCCCCACCAATGAAGTAACACTGACAGATACAGAAAAATCTTTCTGCTGTCTCTGTATGGGAAATTATGCAGCGAAATATAAATACAGGAATCTATTTGTATGTACAGTGCACACAATACGATGTTCGGTTTCCGGAAAGATCGGTTTGTGGAACATTTCTATTGAATCCTTTCCGAATAAGCAGGCCAGTTAGGGCCTAGCCTAGGCCTAGACACTAAAAATAGGCTTAGCATCATAGGCTAGCCCAGTAAATTCAGTATGACTAGCCTACAAAAAAAGTTAACATTTAACATATAATACGTGCAGTACCTGTTGTTTAGCTGTATTGCACAGCAAATTGTATTACTGTACCAATAAAATGAATGCTTTTATATTGTTGCTTATTCTAAACTGTAAACACAACACATCCTTCGTGGTCACGACGAAGCGACTTGTAAATATATGAGGTCGCGCCTCCTAAACTCTGCACGGTAATTGGTTAATTTTTTTCGTGGGGTTATGTTGCTGGGAAAAAATCCCATGTGCTTGGCTGTGGTGACGTCAGACCGCCCAAAGTTTCATAGTGCGTGACAGCTTGCTGGCAGGAACAAGCTTAGTGTAAACCGATAAATTTTTAATTAAACAACATTGTGGGATGGATACATGACATGGATGTTTTAAATTCACGGTGCTCACACAGACGGAAATCAACTTCTACTTGTCGCTATATCATGCGGAGAAGGTGATTTCCCTCTGTCTGTACGTCTAGCCATGGATTCCTCTATGATACGTGATGTTATCGGTTCGTAGCGGACATTAACATTACAATAAACAGCAAATAGCGATCTTGTTGACATTATCTGTGTGAAATATTTTGTAAAGACATCGTTAAGAGGTGAATAATTAAAGCTTTAGGTATTTCGTCAGATTTTCATTGACATTTTAACTGGTCACGCGGACTTGTTATTGGGATAATTAACAGGTCCGCCATGCATTTTACTAGCCATTTGCCGGCAGACCAGCGTTATTTCGAACCCTGAATGAGGAGTACAATGGTGCAAGGACTTAAATATTTAAAGGAGCACTTTGAACTTAATTCGCTGGTTGATTGGAAGCCAGTGCAGTTTCCTAAGTGTGGAACTACTGTAATATGTTCAAATTTGGGATTACCAATAACGGACATATTAAGTCAAGCAGCAGAGTTAATCTGTATTTTTAATCTTCGTAGATTATATACAAGTAAGTCTTAAAAGTGCTGCTGTCATTTCTTGTATTATTCTATAACACGGTTTACACTTTTTATTCAACTTACGATGTAATGTACATTTTTCCTCTCCTGCTTTTTTTTTTCTGTTTGTCTTCTTGTTTTACTTCTCTCTGTTAAAAGTTCATCTAAATCTTCTTTCTCCTCCTGCATTTAAGAAACATTCATCATTAGTTTCAAATTATATACTAATACACATTTTAGAAAGGGACCCCGTTTTCCACTAAATTTTAAAATTTCAATGTATATTTATGTTATGTATTGAAATAAGCGCTACTCACTTGTCTATTCTGAAAATGTTGTGCCTGCACCAGTTTAAAAAATTCTTCGTACACCACTGGCTATTCTTACACCAGTATTAAACACATTCCTAATTCTGATTGCTAATAGTGTATGTATAAATTAGATTAAATTGATCATCCAATTAAAATCAGAATTAATAATTCATTTAAGACAGGTGTAACAATAGATACTGCCTATTTGTTACTATACAGTGGAATGACAAGATTGTGGAAATAGAAATGTTGCATGCAAAAACAATTGATAAAGATGATGATGGTGATGGTGATGATTGATAAGATGCTGACAAGGATGAGTAGATGATAAAATCAATAACTACAATAAGCATTATCATTGTTTATACTTATTCGACATAGTCAGCCTCTTCACTTATACTGTACTATACATTGATAGTGGGGACAGAGCTCTATGTAGATATTTCATAGGATGCATAATTGTATGGACGCACACTAATACAGCTTGCTAAATTCTCACACTTCCCGTGTAACACATTGTCTAATGTGAATCGGGTGTAAGTTAAGTGTATACAAACCTCTGTTGGATGAACATCAACTGTCTTTTAATCCATACTTTCCCCCAAGGTCCTTCAGATCCATATCGCTTGCGTACATCTTTCTCACTTGCTTTCGTTTTTCTCTGGGACGAGCCACAGTTGTCTCAAATAGAGTTTTCCCTGTATATTATTAAAGTAATTTAAGTTAAACCTCTTATGACAATGATAGCATTTTATTTGCAGATTCATATATTGTACAGTATATACAGAAGCGCCCGAGGAAGCACTGACGCAGTGTTCATCACAAGGCAACAGAATGCCGACTACCTACTGTATACATTGGCACTTTGGTGATTATAAAACAGCCTTTGACACCATAATAAGCCAATGCATGTATGTGCAGATGAAGTAAGCAGTACTGGTCAAAGGGTAGAATATCCAAATGGATTACAGTTGAATTTGGTGCGAGGCGAGGGTGGCTCTAATCTTCAGTCCTTTTCAATCTTTTTTGACTCAGGGAGTGCAAATGGGAAATGCTTGCATACAATTCGTTAATATGCAGATGACACTACGGTACCCATGCCAACTCATACCGACTTTGGCAAACCTGTACCAAAATGTAGGTCAAATCGAGCCCAACATTGGCTAAGTCATACCCACGTCTATTCGTACCTACTTTGGAGTAATTATAAAACAAAATCCAATGTTAATACTCCTTGAAATATATTGCACTACATTTTCTACCAAAACAAAATCAATTTTTGAAATACTTTTTAACTTGCATGGACTGCACTAAATTTAAGTGCATACAGTATCAACGGCTCTGACACGTCTTATTATTACTCTAATGGCGCCTCCTACTTATAGTTTGACGCCTCAACAATTATGAAGGTATAAATTTCATTCCGCCTGTATCAAAATTCTCTAATTAGTAAGTTTATCTTTAATAATATAATTCAAAATGATTATCAAAATAGATAATACTCTTTACATAATGTTTAAACTTGGGTATGAGCTAGCCAAGTATGGGTACGACCTAACCACAATTATGTGTACGTGTCAGTCGTGGGTATGAGCCTGTATTCCTTCTTCTCATAAATTCTAAAACTCGCTACCCACCAGTATTAAACCATGTAATCTTACCATAGCTGTGAAATGTGTTTCATCGGTTCTCTAATAAAATGTGAAATGATTAAAGTGAGTTTGTTCAACATAGTTAGTAACTTGCTGCGTCTTCAACGAATGAACCTGCCCAACCTAGCATTGCGATACAAAATATACTGATTAATTGCAGTAATATAAAGATTGTTCCTGGTTAAATTTGATTAGTGCCCACTACTAAATTAATGAAATTTCATATTATAATTAAATTTAATATCATTATGATAAAGGATAGGCCAATTTACAGCAGCTTTATTTCTTAAGATTGAAAATAATAATAAGGTGAAGGTCGGGTTTAGTTTCTATAAATTCAATTTCTTTAATGCTACAAATGCCATTAAAGGGCCAATATCCGCACAACAATAAAGACATGACAAAAAGAGACAAATTGAAAATGCTGTCTACAGAGCATATAATTAACTATGCATTATGGGGTAGGGACGTCACTCCGCTAAGGTCCTAATGACCCGTATACCCCAACCTAATGAAACTAAGCATCCCGGGGTAGAGACATTAATCCACTAAGGTCCTAATGACCTGCATACTCCAACCTAACCAAGCAATGCATCCCGGGGTAGGGACGTTACTCCACAGAAGATGCAAGCAAAATCGAGTGAGGTAGAGTTGAATGCAAGAACAGAGTAGTGTTAAGAAAACCACAGTCATAGTTGTGGCGAAGGGTCATCGACATACTGTAGGACGAGTGGCTGGGAGAAAAGAATGAAGAGGGTGGCCAGGAGATTGAACAATGTCACAGAGGGCTTTAAGCAGAAAGTATTGTTGTCAATGAATGAAAGGAATAATTTTAAAATAAGAAAATATGATATTTGGTGTTTTACAATGGTGTGAATTTATTACAAACCAATTAATCACTAAAAATATGATAACATTTTATAAAGAAAAACGATGGAATCTCTTCAAAATTAATTTAATTAATAAACTGACAAAATGATTCTTTTTTAAACGTCTGCTCTATATGTAAACTTGTATTTTTCATCTAATTATATAAATATTGTAATGCGCATTTGAACATGATTTTAATGGAATTTGCGCATATAAATGAATAAATAAATTAAAATTATTATTGTATTAATAGGTTGTATTAAATTTGTACCAATGTGATAATATTAAAAGAAGTAAAATATATTATTATAAAATTAAAATATTGATAAATTTACCTTTGACTTCTTTCTTAGTGAAATCATCTGAGCGTCTTGTTCCTACAGTATATATTCCTGCAATTTAAAATGTACAAATTTAAATTACATATAAAAACCATGTAACTTAAAGATAAAGTTACGAAATAACCCATATGCTGATCGTTCCACAATGACACAGGCTGAAATGATAGCATCGCCGACGTTCCAACCACTAGACCTAAAAAATCGGGAGAAGGGAAAATTTGCAGTTGAAGGGCGCCACCATTACCACTATTTAGTGAAAAGCGCCATCAACATTAAAATAACCTGATAGAGTTAACGTAATTTGAGGTGTATAAACGTAATTTATAAGATAGCTTTTATAGGTTTTTCATTCATGGGACCTAAATTTCATCTATTTTATTTTACAGTGCAAATCCCATGTTTTTAGGCCATAGGTAAATGATAACAAACAGGGGCCTAGGCCTAGTTTTTGAAATTCAGGAGAATTTGTTTTGAAGAAATTCGGGAGACCGGGAGATAGCATGTAATTTCGGGAGACTTGAATCGGGAGTGTTGGAACCTTTTGGCATCGGGGATAACCCCAACGCTAGCCTAATGCACTTTCACACTGAACTCTTAATTTTTTTACATCAATGTTGTCGGCCCTTAGGGCCTATCCTAATAATACTGTTTTCCTCACACAGTACCCTTTTCAACTAAAAAAAATACCTCTCTATAGTCTAGGGCTAGGGGCCTATAAATACAGCGTTTCATTGCTCGCTAGCATGACGAGCTGCTGCAAGCCTAGGTAGAGCCTAGGCAAGAGAAAGACAATTGAGTCCCCCACACAGGCCTAGGCCCTAGGGTAGACCTACACGTATTATTAATATTACGGTAGAGCAGCCTAAACCAGCTTCGGCCTACACCAGCTAGCCTAGTTAAACTAGCCTAGGCCTAGGCCTAGGCCCTAGGCCTAGGTCCTAGGCTAGGACTAGCGTAGTAGGCCAAGCCTTTTGTTCAGTGCTTTGCTAGAGCGTTTGTAGTATAAATAGAGGAATTTTAAAATGCTTGTTGATCCGAGCCTGGTCTAGGCCTAGCCTACCTTGGCATCCACAATAGGCGCTGAATTGAACATTATCTAAGCCTAGGCTAGGCCCCTAATAATGAATTTTCATTTACGAAAATTCGTTCTTGCAACCATCCATTACGCGTAGCGTAATATATGACGTCATGCTTTTTTAGACGTGTTTTACCAGCGACAAAGATGCTAGGGCCTAGGCCTATCTTGCTCTCATTTTTTATTGGGCTTCTTTAGAAAGCAGCTTTTACACAGGGACGATGACTGATCTTTATCTGTGACTGGTGGTAACAACCACTAAAGAGGTTATAGGTTCTTTGGATATATACAGCACGTTTAACTACTCAACAAAATGTATTCAACAACTTGACACAGGCGCGAAAGAGAGACTGGTTCTGAGCCTAGCTTAACTTATGATACAGAGAGGGCGCTAAAACCATTTATTAATTTATTTCAACAATTTGTGAGAGGGTGATCCAACAAGCCAGAGCTGATCAACTGGGACCCTCAGTAGGCCTCAGTAGACAATAAAATATCATTATGGAAAAAGCTAGACCTATAAAATTGATATCAAATTGATTGAATGAATGCTTACATTACCAAATTAATTAATTAATACATATAAATTAGAAAATTATCAGTAAGTAAGTAAATTTAATATGGATAACGTTAATGAAGAAATTCAAACAAAATTAAGAAAATGTAAATAAAGTATGATTGACAAACTAACGACATAGTAAAATTATTGAAAATAAGAAATAATCAACAAAATTAGAATTAAAATATATAATAGACAATGAATTTACTTAAATAAAATAAACAATGTTGCAACAATTAGGCAACAGGGAACATCACGATAAGATGGAAGATATCTCAAAAGTTTATATTTTATCTGCTACAAAGACGAGTACCATAATAAATTAGGAACATTCAGTTAATATAATAACAATGACCAACACGATTGTCATCACAGGCAACTTTCGGACTTAACGTTGTGTATTGTATCGTAATATACCCCATTCTGGGCCTCCTCTAATCCTGTGGATCTGCCACTAACTACTACATGCAGTGTCATTCTTCTAACTGTTCCTTTTTTCTACGTAGCTTCTTAATTCTTACACAAATTTCTTATATATACACGCCCTGGTTCCTGCCATGGCGGTCCAATAAAGAAACACACTCATGGAAAGCTGTTTTTGTTTTGTTTTGTTTTATTTATTAATTTTTTTTTTTAGGCTGACCCAACACAAGGTTTTATCTTCTCGGACATTTGCCTTTTCCTTCCATTTAATTTAAGTTACACGGCTTCACAATTTGAAATTGTTTAGCATCAATTATTGCAGTACTAGTTGAGATTACTAATACGATTTTTGTATAAATGTTTTACATTTTGCGTGTACCATCTTCTCAAGGAAGAAAATAAATGTTTTTATTTCAAATTGAATAGGCAAATGTATACAATATCATTCAGTGTTTTTGTCTTGCAACTGAGTGTATTTGGTCGTACGCGGGGCCCCAAGAAAACATTTGATATGAGCCCTATGTTTTTTTTTTTATTTATTCAGGTTCTACAGAGTAGGCCTAGACCTAACTCTTAATACCTGTTTATTTCAGTTTGCGTTCCAATCCATGTCCTAGGATCAAATCACATTGGCGCAGACCATGGGGGTGGGGGAACAGGGAACACGCCCCCCCCCCCAATATATTAATATATTGTGAGGGGGTGCTGATCCACCACGTTTGTACCGCAATGCAATTTCATCAGTAAAGATGATGCCTGAAAAATGACCCAGGTTTTAACACAGCCTGAATACAGCACTGCACATCTTATACCGTATTATAGCAAGATACCGGTATTCTTAATATCCGAATTACCTATTATAAACGCATGCTTTTGTTATAATTGGATAAGTATAAGAAAAAGTATAATAATTTAAAATAATAATAATAATAATAATAATAATTAATAATAATAATAATAAATAATACTCTCTCCGTTCCACGCGCCTCAGGATATTGGTTAAGTAACAATTATTGTTGTGTCTTCTTAATAATGTGACCATTATAATAATAATAATAATAATAATAATAATAATAATAATAATAATAATAATAATAATAATAATAATAATAATAATAATAATAATAATCATCATCATCATCATCATCATCATCATCATCATCATCATCATCATAATAATAATCATCATCATCATCATCATCATCATCATCATCATCATCATTATTTTGACTACAATGGTGATGTGATGATGAATTTCATTTCCGGACATCTAGAGGTACTATTTCCCCAAATTTCGCACCTCAGCAACAACCAAGGTAGCGCTGAGATGGGTGTGGACTCAAGGCCTAGAAGTAGGTAATGTAAAGTATTTTTATATCAAAGAAAATGATTTGTATGTTTTATTTTCTATGGTGCATTACAAATATTAATTATATTTCTGGTTGCCGAAAATCACAGAAAAAAGATCATGGTAATTAATGTTGATGTGATGACGATGAATTTTGTTGTATAAGAATGTTATTTTCGGCCATCTAAAGGTACAGTACTATTTCCTCAAATGTTCACACCACAACCCCAACCATGGTGGGCTGAGGTGAGTGTGGTCCTCACAAAATGTTCCCCCTCCCTCCACCCACCTTTCAAAACAGATACCGTATGGTTATGATGACATCACATCATGACCACATCATAATGGCGCATCGTCATGGGCGTACAACAGTTTCTTGTCAGTGTGGACGGAGATTTCTATTCATAATTCAAATTACAGTAGAAAACCTCCTTTGGGAAACCCCTATTTTAACGGGACACTTTTTGAGCACCAAATGAGGGAAAGCCTATTTCTTAACACCATGGAAAACCCCTATTCAGGGGACACCTCTATTAAGGAGACACTTTTTTTTTGCTCCTCTTAATAGAGATTATATTGTATACAATAATGGTAATACTTGGCATTTATTTTACGGCATGAATAGTGTGGTGATGAATATGATGTTGACTGTTGATGATCATAGTGATGGGATGGGTAATGGACTATGAAAAGCAAAGAGGAAATGAAAAATAAGGTGTGACGAGTAAAATTAAAATCGAAAACGGTACTGGGTTTGGTCTACAGGAGATCGTGTATTATGCAGGACATTCCATAGAAGAAGCCTTTTAATGGTGAAAGCGTACCTGTCTTTAGCCAGTAGCCTAGGTCAAAACATAACACCAGCTTTATCAAATTGATCATAAGATTGAAAATTGTTAATCTTATTATTGTAACGAATACTATGTCCACGTTTAAATTAATGTTATTTATCAGTATTATATATATAATTATATACATTATTTATATTCATACTTAAAGCATGGTTTAAATAAGAAATACTGGACAGTACCAGTCTATGTTTCAAATAATCTTATCTATTAGTTGTATATGAATTTAGTATAGTGTATAACATAATATGAATGTTTTATATTGCAAGCATTTTTAATGTGAAATAATTTTTTTAAATAAGAAAATACTATTACTATATAAATGATTACACCTATACATACATTTTTATATAGTATAGGTGTAGGGCTTCGGCTGAGACCTAATGATAATACAGTATTAAAATAAAGTAATTAGTATGTTAGTGTTTAAATTTTGTTTATATTATAAAAGATTCAAGAAGAAGAAGAAATCCAAAGAGGTCCGGAGCGGCTCAGAAATGTACCGAAAATTATATAACAATGATAATAGTAATGGTAATGGCTGTATATTTACTCATTGGTTCATTGTTATATTTTGTTTAAATTTTATGCACTAATCATCGGAGGTCTTAGTGCCACAAGCATACACGTATCAATAATTCGACATTTAAATAACCTTAGATTAACCTTAGAATATTATTATTACTAAAATATTAATACTATCATTATCATCATCATCATCACCATTTTCATCATCACTATCGTCATGCTATCATTATCACCCTCAACATTTATCTCATCATCACCATCACCACTATCAACCTCATCACTATCAACATCATCACCATCATCATCACCACCATTAATATTATTATTATTATTATTATTATTATTATTATTATTATTATTATTATTATTATTATTATTATTATTATTATTTATAATTATTATTATTATGTTTATTATTATTATTATTATTATTATTATCATTATTATTATTAAAACACAACAGGTTAAAAAAATTACTTATATTGTATTTATTGCCAGGTTAAATCGTTTCAAACAGTAAACAAAATTGCGTTTAAAGTCTTTTTTTTATTCATCATTTAACATATATTTACAATAATAATTCAATAAGATGTGTATAAGAGACAGTATATATACTGTATATATATATATAATACAATATAATTATAATGTATCTCAAAATTTTTTTTGTGAATATGCAATGCATAAGACAGAGATCTGTTCACTAAAGGTAGACGTATAAAAAAAGCATTCGCGAGAAAATGATCAAGAAGTGTAAAGCCCAAAGGCAGCAGACAACAAGGCTACTGATTATACCATAAATCGCACTCACACGTTCCAACTGATGAGAGAGATGGTCGTCTAGAGCTAGACCGACGCAGCTACATATAAAACGACCCAAGTGAATGCTCATCTTCACCTTGGAGGCGATATGTTTGTACAAAATTGTAAGCACAAGGGCACGCCTTGTGGGTTTATAATTATGCTTATTTTCGCTTTTTTTTTTCGCCATAAGCGGATTCAAGGGGAGGGAGGGAGCCTCCCCCTTAATTTTTCAAAATTATTTTTAAAAAAGAAGAAAACAAAAATATTCAAATTTAATATGTAAATAATACACTTAATAATATAATGACATACTGCTGTACAATAATAATTTTCTACCTTCAGGTGTGTAAAATAAGAACAAGATAAGAACACTTTGAACCTGAAATCGGGGAAACGAATAAGAACTATAAGCCTCAGCAAAATGTTTTGCTGGGCATTAAAAAAAGTGTAATATAAGTAATTAAAGTGAGTTGATTATAATTTCTGCATTCTATGTCATCATTCAAATTATCATAAAGGGATCCCGACGCAGCCAGTTGTAGTTCGTAGACAGATAAT